TCATTTTACTTAGATTTAAAAATGAAAGTAAAACTAGTTGAGATATAGATAAAAATGGCATTTTTTTTACAGTACTCACGGTCTTTTCTCACTGAATCTATGAGCGTCCCATCTGGAAATAAAAAAAGGTACAGGAGGGTAAGAATTGTTTGTCGGCTCGATTGATAAGAGACAAAACGATTGCAGTTGGGCCATTGTGTGACAATGACGATATATCATACCTTCGCTGAAGAAAAGCTCGACGGAGAGACCGAGAGCGGCACAGCGTTGGCGGGCGTTTTCCGCGGCAATCAGATCGGGTGGGTGGCTGTGGCAGGTACGCACGTACGGTTGTTTGCACGAGGTGTCGGTGAGTAGGCTACCCTTGCAGTGCTGGGTGCGCAGGACGCAACGCCACCGGATGCTCGTCGGCTGGCGTTTGTGCAACGTGTACATGAAACCTCGATGGATGAGCTTAGGACCGCCTTTGTTGGACAATACCACCTGAAGTGAATCACGTGATGGATATTTCACCGGTGTGTTTGATTTTATCAAGTTAAGGAAAATTAGATTGTTGCTCCTTTCGGTATTTCATTTTCTGAACTTGAAAGATTTTGTTGGAAAATTTTGTTTACAGATTTACAACAAATAATGGATCTGAAGTCAAGGACAACGTTGGTTTTGCTGTATTATAGTATTAATAATTGGTTGGTATCGGCGCGATCACATTGTCAAAGCAATTGAGTCATCGTTGGTATCTGTGAAGTATCAAACGTCACAAGTTTACTGAATATAAACGTCAATGATAACACTTGGAAAGGAGTCACGACATTTTCGTCTTATCGTTTCGGTAGAACCGGTATTCAAATGTGAAAGTGTGTAGTGAAAACTTGAAAAATTACCTTGGACGGATAAGTGAAAGAGTAACATTTGAAATATAAAGCTTTTGAAAATGTTTTCACGTTAAAGGGATAAAACAAAAACAATCATGCGTTTTTAAAGTATTATATCTTGCATGAAAAATTATATTTGGTCCGTCAGATGGATTATCAGAAAGTAGCAGCGAATTTTTTATTTTTTTTAATGTAAATATGTGTAAAGAGTTTTTAAACATTTACATAAAAATGTAAAGTACAAGATTACCACACGTATTATATATAGATTTTTTTTTTAAGCTGTCAATTTCTCTTTTTGTTGTATATTGATAGTTTCTCACCATTAATATTCTAGGTTTTTTCCTTTAAAAAAAAAATTTTTTTTTATTACATTTCTAATAAAATTTTGCAAGATAGCATTAATTTGTACTATAATTATACGAAATTCTTTGAATTTTTACTGTTCAAGAACATTTAATAGTTATAATAATGAGATATATAGTTTCTCAACGTTTAGTTGCTATATACAAAAAAATTGAAGGTATTTGGCTAATTGGGTTGATAATCAATATTTTCACCAAACTGGGCCACCAAATACAGTGAATGATGATTTAAAAAATATGATACGTATAACAATTTTAAGTTATATAAGAAGTAGTGACAATAAACTAATAAATAAACAGTGGTCGAGTTCTTTAATTTTTTTTTTTTTTAATTCCATAAAACTTTTAATCTTATTGAACTTATGAATAATGCAAATGATCCAAATTAATATTATCAGTCAAATGTCTAAAACAGAGTATAAAATAACAAAATCGTTATGTCTATGCTTGTGTCTCGTTTATTCATATGCGAATAGACCCAAAACTTATCTAGGATCTCTGTTGATCCTCGGAGTTTTTCCCATTTACTTCGTGCAAAAAAAAAAGTTCTGAGAATCCCCTGATTACTTTACTCCTAAAAAAAGCAGTTGATTTCTCATGCTAAATTGTCAGCTAAATTTTCGGACACATTTTTTTTGTTTGTTTCCAAATTTTAATAATAAATTTTATCATCGGGGCACATTGGACACTGTTCGCGTGTCTTCATCGTTTAAAAATTTTCCGAAATGCATAATATTTATGATTACAGTTGGTAATTCTTTGCATGCAGGACTTCTACTCTTTGGCACTGGGGGTACTATACTTGTACTTTTTTAAGCAAACATCGGTTGTATAGGTACGTAGTTTTTGTAAACAACTTATTTATTTCACGAGTACCATAATGTTTGTTGATAATAAAATTGATTATTTAAAGGTGGAAACAGTTAAAATGTTACTATCAGAAAATCAGCGTGGCAATATCATGTGTCATGAAAAATCAGTTAATTTTTTTCAGCAGTGCTGTTTTTCCCATATCTGTAGAAACCCTCTAACATAATCTTGAGTCTACAGTTGAATTCAAGAGTTTTTCTATCCTTTCGAACTTACTGATTGTTGCATTGTTAATTGAATGTCTTCGGCGCATATTTTATTTTTATTTAGTCATGGCAATGAAACATGTATCAAGTTAAGTAAGAAATACGTTATTTACTAATACTAACAGCAAATCGAAGGTTACATGTTAATAGAAAATAAAATGACGTAGCGCAAGAAAACCCGAAAAGCCGTGTCAATGAGAACACGCGCAAGAAGCAACTCATTTGACACAATGATAGAGTAATAAAAGTTTATACCTCCGGTTCGTCGTCCAGGATTTCTTCTTTCAACTGCAAAGGTTTCATTTCGAATTTCGGCTTTTTCTTCGGCCTCCCGACTTTCCCGGGCTGCCGAAAATCCTCCATCATGTCCTCGAATTCCACTAACAAAAATCAGCATATTTTTGAGAAACGTTTGTTGTTGGTATTAAGTGGACTTTGTTAAAACTACACTGTTACGTATACACACGACGTGCCATCGACACGCACTCGAGCCTTCTTTTCACGATTTGAGGCAATGAATAATATATCAGCAAAAGAAATCACGTGTACGCGATACACGATTCTTATAATTATTAATATTAGTAATCGCGCTCAACGTTATTCTCTCGTACGGGTAATTCATTGCTTTATCATGTCTATTTTTGAAAAACGTTGAATTAACCACGTTTACATCGAAGGGACATTGCGAAATTGTACATAAATGTTTCATATTACTTGTAAAAACTGATATACAATGCGATATCATTTAAAAAACGTTTTGTTTGCAAACCATGGAAAAAAAAAAGAAACACATACGTAATGGAATATTGATCGGAAAAAATCCATCAATAACGATCATATCTGTTTTTGGATGATCATTCGCTTCACTTAACCGTTCGTTTATCCGTATCTTTTGACACTTTGCAAAGAGCCATTTTTCTGTTGAATATCGCACTAAAGTTACGCTTATTAAAAACGTCATACAAAAAAAAGGCTCGCACTCGAAAAGACATTTGGTTTCCAAAGGCCACGTGCAAAAGAGACTCCGACGTGGAGTCTCAAGAGAGAAAGGTACCATTGGAACATCGGTAGAAAGAAGAAAAAAAAAAAAATAAAAATAACCAACCGAGGTCGGCCCGGTCTCCGAGCAAACCGCAGGGGACAACACTCACCGCGTTGTTGTACTGCAGGCAATTCGTACATAGGTATATATATATACACGGACGCGCACTTTTACCAAGTTCTCAATGTAAAAACAAGGTATCTGACATGACGTACCTGTTAGTTCAATCGGCGATACGTATCCGGAGGGAAAGTGCCTCTGCGGCGATATAATATAATATCAGCAACAAAAAAGGACCAAAAGTGCGTATGGCCACGCACGCAACGACGAAATTTGTCGAAGCCAAAGTTCGGCTGCAGGAGCACAAGGGAAACGTGTATACATACGGTGCGCACAGAAGTTGGAACGTACACGAGCGACCAGACGAAATGGCTAAAAATGGCCGCGGACTACGTTGCAGCCGAGCGGCTGGGCTGGGGCGGCCGCAGCGCCGCGGATGGACGGACGGGTGAAATACTGAGAGGAAAAACGGGTCACGGGATTCTCCGGAGGTGGCACAAGTGGGAGGCTCTCGCACGCGGTGGATATCACATCAGGCGGTATGAGAGAGAGAGAGAGAGATAGCAAGAGAAACAAAAGTAGAGGCGGCGATACGGCTCTGTATTATCTCGCGGTATGAATTTTATGGCACGGGGCAACGTGGCGCTCGTATACGCTCTCGGCAATCGATAAATGGTACTCTCTCTTTCTCTGCTGTTCGCTTGTGCCTTATTGCCCCCGCACCAATGAGTGGCCCTTCTTATATGGCACGGATCGGGGCCAGATTTCGCCTCTGACGCACCCGCTTTACATTTAATCAACGACGAAACGGCCCGATGAAAATCAACGTCGAGTACTTATGAAAAAATGAAAAAGGCCTCGGGCCATAGTTCATTAACTTGTGAAACAGTGACAAAACTGACACTGAGATAAAAAAAGTCCTCTGATTCTCAGTCAGAACAATTAATTTATTAGGCCCCTGCGGCTTACGGTCTGATTGAATCCTTTGATATTGAATTTTGACCTCAAGAGCCTATAACACTACTCCGGCAAAGTTTAAATCCCGATATGAAATCGAGTTAGAGAGTTTACTGTCACATTACCTTAGCGACATCATATTTGGGAGCAGTCAGCTTTATCACGATACGGTATCGATGCCTCGCAGTTGGTGCAGTTTTGAGACGTCATTGCGATACAGTTCAGTGTTTAATTGGTTAGGTTTACATCACATTACACTGACTTTTCGATACATCGCAAATCGTGATACTTATATGTGATAAGGGCATAAGGCCCTGACATAAAGGATGTGTGTGTTTCTGTATTTTCTACTTTACTTTCGAGCTGAGGTACGTAAACGCGATACTGTGTATAATTTTAGGCTTTATCATGACTTGTGATGTCTCGCAAAGTCGTGCGGTTTTGAGACGTCATGGTTTTACAAAATGTATGATAGGTATATTATCTCGAAGGGTTGGGATATTTGATGTCTGTGACCATTTACCTTGGCAAAGATGTCTATCCCCTTTGACCATGTTGCCCAGTAATAAAACATATTGTTCACAACCCTTAAAGACAAATCAAGGCATGGATTATTGATAACTTTTTATAAACCTTTAAAAATGAGAGTAGAAACACATAATACATAATTAATTAAAAACTACGCCAAATTTTTTTTTTTTATTTTACCAAAAGTGGCTTGTAATTCTAGCTTCTCAAAACTTGTAGAAAATACAGTGCACAAACTGCAATTCCAAAATAGTACACAGTTTGCTTCACTTTGTCTATTTCTTGTGGTAAATGATCTCCTACACTCTCATTCTTGTCCCATACATTTTCTTGCAAAGTGTCAACTGTCTCTACTTTTTTGACATCAAGTGCTACTTTTATAGTATTTTCTTGGATATTGATCCTGTTAATGATTTCTGAAAATTTTTCATCCAAGTTTCTTTCTATGGAGACTTGTGATCTAGAAATAACATTTCTGACATCTGCTATTCTTTTATTGTTGTAAAACATGGAGCCAGTCAAAGAAACTATTGCTAAAAATGCTGACGCTAAAATTGAGAGGTATTTATATTTTTGGGCATTCATTGCTTGACTATCGTGGTACTCCTTGATCGCTGTTGTCAATTGCGTGAAATGATCACGTTCTTCATTTTCCAATAACTGCAACTGATCTCTTATTCGAATCTCACCTTGCAAACACTTGTTTTCTAAGATAGTTAGTTGGACATATTTGGAATCATCACGTTTCGTTTGTATAAGCTCGCTGTATATTTCCTTCAACTTTTCACTAATGGAATTAGCTTGGTGTGTCAAAAGTCTCCTTTGATCTTGGCACTTGAATAATCTCTCTTGAAAAGTTATAACTTGCTCTTTGGCAATTTCGACTTTGTCCATCCCTGTCAGCTGCTGGTACCATTGCCAATAATTAACAAGGTACTTGGGCAAAGGAGGATGTTGTAAGGTAGAGTTATTCAAATCTTTAGCGATGGCAGAGCTTTTGACTTGCTAAAAGAAAAAATTATACAAATATACTACTGCAATGTACTCAAAGTTTGTATGGTTCTGTGCTCGGTAATCTAATTACATTAAACAATCAGGAAAAAACTCACCTGAAAAGCGTTTTCATACATATTAGCGACTACATTTTGAAGATGAGTCATCCTCTCTTGAGCCCTTTCAGTTGCATTTCCAATTGCAGTAGTTGCATCATGCAGTAAAGATGATTTATGCATTTGATCCTTTAAAGATTTAAAGACCCTTCTGGAATTTCCTGCCATCTAACATTGATGGACTACATAAGCACCAAGTCACACATGTAGTGAGTGTAGAATCACCTGTATAAAATTATACCTCTGTTTTCAATAATACTCTACTGATTCAATGCAGAGAGTCAAACTTAAAGATGGATCCTACATCATTTTTAAGTTTAAAATAGTTCAACCTAATGGTCTAATAACAGTATAAAATGTGTCATAGAATGCAGTTAAACTGATGAATTATCAATAAATCTGACACTATGCAGGTAAGAGAGCCAATCGATCAATGGTAAAATATTTTTTGATAACTTTTTTTCATTTAATGGTAATTTATATTATACAATTCTTTGAAAATAAATCTTTGAAATTATTTAATACAATACTTTGCGAGTCGTTTTTTTTTCAATGATTGTTAGAGGCAGTTAATAAATGTTTAGAGAAAAATAAATAAGGATAGTGTATATATACCCACATGGTCCTGTGTATATGCTTTGTGCAGACAACTTTTACTACCTAGTACCACCTTACTCTATTTCTCTGTGGCGCCAGTGGCGCTTGTTCAAATTATAGTATTGTACTTAAACATCACACAGTGAACGTGACTACAAGCTGATTAGTTTAATTGTATATTAACTATTTTAATAATAACATACATGCCTTGAAAAAAATATTTATGTGTATTTTTTGTAAGAAAAAAAATATTTTTGTTACTTATCTTAGGTAGGTAAGAAAGTAAAGTGTAGGTAAGGTAAGTACGCGAGAACTGACCAACAGTTGCTTATATAGTTAGCGGCTCAACAATTAATGAATATATAACGGTTTTCCGTAAATTACATCTTTCTTTAAATCACATATTTTCCTAACAATAGACATCTTATTTAACTTCATGAATATCTTTTATGCAAAATATGTGCGTTTTTTAAACGTTAAAAATAGTCTTCTGATGAAACAGCACTACGTTTATTTATATATATATATGTTTTTTTTAATTTTTTTTTTTCTGCAGCCAATCTTGGGAGCTCAAGACCATACTCCAGCCATGCAGACTCATCTTTTGAAAAGTTTACTTGACTGAGAATCGAACCCTCGCTCCGCACTAGAAAAGCTGTATATACAATTGGCTTCTAACCAATTGAGCCACTATTGCTCTTTGAAATTTTCTTATTCTAACAAAATATTTGTTTAAAACAACGAAAAGCATTTGTCGTAAAAAAACATACTCGTGTTCCTAGATAATAATAACTTTTTTTTTTTAAGTTGGAATATTTGCTGATACTCGTAATTTATAACATTCTTGGTTGTAATTCAATAATATATTTAAAACGATTAAAATTTTTCCTTGGGATAAAAGTTAACTTAATTTTTGCTGCTTCATTTCCTGGTGATAAGAAATAATTGAAAATTTACTAAAACAATATATAAACATATATTTTTTGAATGGTATGTATGTACTATCATAATAAAATACAAAAAACATTACAAAAGTCATAAAAAAGTAAACACCAATGGTAATTTAACAGTTGTGTAATTTGTTCAAGATAATTCAGCAAACATATTTGCGTCGATATTTAATAACACATAATTAAGAGAAATACTAATAAAGTTCATTTAATATGGGTTGGAAAATATGTAGAAATAATGCTTTCAGAAGGAATATCAAAAATAATTCAAGTACTCATATTCTAAAATAATAAACCTGAAAAAGTGAGTATTTTTAAGAATATTCATGTCTTGGTTGTATGTCATAATTTTTTCTTAAAATTATTTCGAATGTAATATTTTTTTTATCAAATAGCAAAAACAAAATGCTTGGATTCAGGATGATAATTGTATAATACAGTTCAACATAAATAAATACGTAATACAAGTAATATTCGAAAAAATTAAAGTGCTAATTAAAATAATAAATTAAATTGGTGAAAAATTATTTTATACATTAAACATTTACTTGAAATTTTTATAATAAAACTATTAATTATTCATGTACTGACCATTATACATGCTAAGACACACTAGAATTACGAAACATATTGAAAAAAATCAAAATTAAATATTTTATGAGCATTTTTATTGAAAAAAAAAGTTCAGTATAAATATTTTTTTTGATATGTCATTTTAATATACTTTCACGAATAACTGCATTTCACTTCGCGTTTATTTTTTATTACCATACTTACGTTCTATTTTGATGTATCCATATTGAAAATTAATTTTTGAATAAAATTTTTAGATTTTTTAGATACTAAAACTTTTATTTGATAATAAAAATATGTANTCGTCACTAGAGATTGGAGAGTAAAGTAAAAAGAACATATATTATGTTGTAATAATTGGGGCTTAAATCGTTGGTTCTTTTCGACTTTTTTGTTTATATTTTATAAATATTTGCTGTAAAATAATTTTTTTTTCACATTATTTTAATAATAATGGGATTTCCGGAATTCAGTACTACAAATTCAAATAAATTTGTTTTTTAACTGTGTGAGACCCAAACAATCTAAAATTGTTTACGCTTTGCTATATCACAGTTTTAAATAATCGGTGCTGATTTTACTTCATGAATTTTTTAATAATCATGAACAACATTAAAAAAGGATTTACACCCAGAGAGTGTCCGAGGGACTAAAATGTAAGCAATAAATACTTGGTGAAAAATATTTTACATGTCTTATTAGGCCATAAAAGCTAAAACGCCATGATGAAACAATAAATACGAGCCGTTAATATTTAGGAGTTTCATAATCGATGTACTTAAAGAAAACATGAAATTTCAAAAATAAACACATATTACTTGAATCGCAGGCTAAAGCATAACTGAAGTGAAAATACTAGATGTAAAAAAATCACTTAAATTGAATTTAAATAACATTACCTATATAGAAACACCAATTCAAGAGCAACAACATGAACAAGATCATACATAGAAATAACAATAAATTAGTTGCTACAATCAAGATGACAGAAATGAGATAAAGCATTACTTTATCCAAAGTTATATGGTTTATAGGTTCAATAAAAAAATCATGATATTGTATGTTTACTCTTTATTCATAATAAATTTCCACAATTAAATAAATACATAAAAAACCAAAATAATTCTCATGTAGCTCGATAAACAAAAAAAAACCATGTTTACAATCATAAAACAATAATGTATAAACATACGTTGATACATGTATTCACCTACACATAAAATGTTCATTCCTCAAAGAAACACGTAATTATAATTGTAATAATAATAATAATAATAATAATAATAATAATAATAATCACTATGATGAATGACAAAATCAACAATTGCTTAAAAGTTATTATTATAAAGAACAAGTAGTGAATAAAAGTCTAATCGTATTTCTTTACATTGCATCCTGTTTTATTTTTTCGTTTGCCTATTATCCTCATTCCGTCCGTAGCTGCTGATGCCGCTACTATACCACTGCAACCGCAGCGTTGACAGTTTCAAAACTGCACCCAAGCTTCGGCCTCCCAGCCCTCAAGGCTGTCTTCAAGTCGTAATAACCAAAAACTCTTTACCAATGCAACCCGCGCGTGCACTTATTGATATACGTTACCGCGTGCGCATGGCGTTTCCCTAAAATCATTTTATTCTTTTCTTGTTGTACATGTATTTGTATCCACTTAACGTTCGAGAGCTCAGGCAAAGTCTTTTTTTTTTTTTTTTTTATAAAATCTCATTTCGATTATGCTTCATTAAATCCCTCGCACCAAACAATAACTGGAATGACGTTGATATTCTGTCTTTTGTTATCTTCCTCGTGTTTTCTCTTTGAATCTCGTCGATTTTTTCACCCCAAAGGGAGGGAAAAGCTAATTTCGCATACAAGTAGAGTTGGACCCGTCTAAATATTTTGCGAAGAACGGCATCGTTCGAAACTCGTTCTCACCAGTTCCATTTTTCCGTACAACAACGATTTACATCGGCTATGTGGTAATTGCATTAATATATATGCACTAATCGTCAATACAACAATGATAACAATGTAAACGAAACTTAATCTAGGGAATTAAGAACAAAGGAAACAATTGTTGGTAACCCTTTCACGTGTTAAAGGTATACAAAGCCTGCAGACCTTCGTTCGCTTTATAAAAATTATTCCATGTATAAACTACCTAAGTTTTACTTTTATTCTTCGTACACGCTCTATTTTAACAAATTAAAAAACATTACCAGCCCTAAAATTATAAAAAGGAATCGCTAAGTTTTACACTTTTTTTTTCTTCTCATTTTTACGTTATCTCGTAATTTGGCAAACAGTTAAAAATCTGCATTTTGTTACTTTATTTATTTCTTTTTTTTTTTTTTTTTTTTTTTTTTNTCCATCAATATTTTGAAAAGGAAAAGATGATTATGCGAATTAAGAAAAATTTATCAAGATTATTTCTAAAAAATTTTAAAATAACCAATTATAATGTAGTAAGTTAAAAAACAGCATACTACAACTGGAATCGCTTATTACACTTGATCACAAGAGATTAGTACAAGACGAAAATAATACCTCCATTATAAAAACAAAACAAAAATACATTTAATAGAGTCGAAGTGTTTGAGCCTTTATAAAAAATTGATTATAGTATGTCTATTATTTACAAGCTTTGAAGTGTAATAATATATTATATTATGCATATTTATATTATAATATACCGACGTACAATGAAATAACGGAATAACGTCTTGGCTGAAATATTTAGACGTGCCGATCTCTGCAGGTTATTACAGGCGACGCGTGTCAGTGTTACAGCACATGCAATGTTTATTTGTCACTCTATTATCCTTTTGGATTCATCCACCTCATCCTTTATTCCTCGGAGGTCTCGCAAATATCGTTAAGATGACAATCAGTAAGCTTTTTTTTTCCCTTAACTCTGGATTTCGCCAAACGAATCGCTCGAGAGTTTGGCAAAATGTTAGCATCGCATTATATTTACACAATTTTCAACTAATCATTGTCAGTGCCTCCTTCAACGAGTAAAATATTTTCCATCTCCTCGCAGCCGCTGCACACAAGCGAGACCTTTTCACACGTACGTTGCGTAATATACGAATCTCGCGATGAAGAACAGTTACCGGCTAGGCGCGATTTAATCAAAAAATCTTTTTATTGTATTCGGAGGAGAACGAAGGTATGGGCCAAGGGGATGAAATGTAAATACAATCACTCGGGCATACGCGTGCTCAACAACGATATCGATATAACAAACTATTTACGCGCGTAATGCCACTGCCTTCGTTATTGATTCAAGACGCGACTGATGAGAAACTCAAGGTGAGATGACACGGATACACCTAATAACAAGATTTCGCCAACAATGTGTGATAAACATGTTATTAATTGTAATGATAACGTTCTGTAAGATACGTAGAGGCGTTTGGCGACAAAGACAAAAATTAAAAATTTTTAGTTTCCAACTGTGATGAATTTTATATCAGATTCAAGTGTACATTTTTTTTTTTTACAGATAGATTTTTTTATATCGGCTACGTGAGAATCGGCACGTGTTCGAAGCGTCAGTAAGTAAGCATCAGAGTTATACCAGTGGTTTGATCAGCAAATTAGATCCCGTGGCTTAGAGGATTTTGAATAATTGTTAATAATGTTTTTCATCTGCTTGTAATTTATTTATTTTTTTTTTATCTTATGATTATTTACATGATTTCAAAAAAATTTACCTGGAAAAATTACAGAAAAGATACCACTTTCCATCAATAATCCGTTTGGCAATGATAATACGCAATATAGGAATAACTCGATTTTTAATTTAGAGGAATGATTTTATATGTATGTATATATTAATTCTAGGATTTTAAATTACTTTGAAAATCAATACTTAACGCTACGGTAAATGTATACGTACATAAATATTTATAAGTACATTATGCAACAAAGCTCAAGTAGACGATATAGAAATATCACGTATTTCAACGCACACCAAAAATTACTTATGTCTTTTATTGTTATCCCACACGAGGAAACGCAAAAGAGAACGACGACGCCCACATCATGCCACACAGTTGCACCTGTTCGTGGTTTCTCCTTTCAATTGAGTAATATTTTGTCCCTTGCTATCACTCAATAAATAATCTCTCACCTGCGCTAAAATTTACATTAAAAAATTTAATCAATAATCAACTGACTCATCCGTTCGAACAAACACGTGGCACTGTCCCCTCTGCCCCGCTCGGATGAAAATACCGAAAACGATCGAGCAACCTTATCGTCTCTTTTTTTCTCACTCTGCTCATTTTCTTTATTTTGTTTTTTTTATATTTTTATATTGTTGTTCGTTCGAACATATTCACTTGATTGGACATAACAAAAAGTATCCGTCTAGGTATCTTACGTCACGGCGCACAAGTGTACTTGTAATAATATATTAAGGATGTCAGATACCGACAATACCCAAGGGGCACGACGCTATTTTTTTTCATTTTTTTTTTTTTTACTTACGTATATAATGAACCATCGCGTCGTGCGTGCGCTTTTTTCCTTATTCATATTATTTCAACGTTATTCGTTTACTGTTTCGTTACATCTCTCCTTTTTTCTTTCTTTGCCTCTTTCATGCTCTCTTTTTTCTTGTTTCCAGTCACCGTTATAATTTTTTCACGTATGAAAAAAGTATGTCATGTGGATGTTTCACGTGGTCTCCAGTGCATTGATTTTATAATAATAATATTATTAATGATAATTATAACAACAACAATGATAATTTTAATGATTTTATTAATAGTAATAATGATGATAATAATAATAATATATCGCCTCGCGTTTTACAAGCGTCTTTATAAAAAATTGACCTGGTGCAACGTTACGGTTATTCATGTATTATTTTCCATCTTCCTTTTTATGTTTCGTATATCTTTACATTTATTAATTATTTTACCATCCTGCTTAAATGCAGTTTCATGCTCGACCCATCGATTATAGTAAAGCTTGTATTTTCCACATTGTCCATACTTGTATCAGTGTAAGAAGAGTGAAATATGGGGAGTTGTGTCTGTTAAACTTCTTTTTTTTTTTTTTTTTTTTTTTTTTTCTTTATTTTNGCTTTTGTTCGTCGAGTAAGGCGCGCCAGAGTTCTCGGCCCTTTTATTTTAGCCCTAAACTTCTTTTTTTTTTTTTTTTTCCGACACACTTCAAAGATAAGAATTTAAGTACAAGTACTATCGACATCGTGAGAACGATAGGAATTCATCATCATCCCATCCCGACTCTGTGTCATTTACTTTATCTTGACCTTCAGCGGCTTCTTCCTCCTTATTTTTTTTTTTTTTTTTTCTTTAATATCTTACGGTTACACGTGTACATAGGTTCATTTGTGTATGTGGTTATTGCACGTTTATATGTATGATAGGGTGACCATTGGCTGAAATTTTGTTTAATTAAACCACTTCTAAAAATACTTCTACAGTTTATAACACTGCCTTACAAAATCCATAATTTCTAAATTGCCCCGTGTTCCTTAGAATAAATTGATTTTCAATTTTTTTCCATTTAAATAACATCTAACGTAGAGTTGTATAGAGGTGTCCCTTGATTTATTTTTTAACTCTAGTTTTTGTACACTACTATAACATTTTTTCAGATTTTTTTTGCCAAACATACAAGTATGGAGAAAAAAAACTTTCCAAGAGCCTAAAAAAACTATGGAAAGTCGATTTTTCTCGTATTTACTTATTAATTATTGTTGATATTATTATTATTACTTTTTTTTAAATCAATTCATCGTTTTAGTAGTTTTCAACATAATTCAATCGTTTAAAAACGTTTTAAAAATGTATACGTAACAAAAAATCTGGAACCATGCCCGATGTATATTAATTGGGGAGCAGCCGTAATATAAATATTACGAGTTTAGCAAATCAGAGATCTTAGTTTTAGGCTTCAAAAGAGTTTTTGGTTGGCGGTAAGAAAAATTAAGAAATAACGTACATCCTATAATACACATAAATATGCTTATGTTTGTATGTGAGGGTCGCATTGTATGTCGGAAGCGCGAAATATCTAAGGCTCCTTCTACACATCCTCTTATTACTTTATCACTCGATAAATCCCCGTATTGGACGCCACGCTATTCTACAGCTTTCGCTCGCATCGACTTTTGTCAATTCAAATATTTTTTTTTTTTTTTCATACTTGTTTATTACTTTATTATTGTTTTTCTCTTAACAATGACATGCTACAAAAAATGCACTACAAAGCTTGTCGACGTCTTTTTTTTACTTGTTACTTGTTATTTATTGTTTTATTACTCCTTTAAGCATATTTGCAATATTCTTTTTTTTGACGTTTTTTTTTTTTTTTTTTTTTTTTTTTTTATAAAATCTCATTTCGATTATGCTTCATTAAATCCCTCGCACCAAACAATAACTGGAATGACGTTGATATTCTGTCTTTTGTTATCTTCCTCGTGTTTTCTCTTTGAATCTCGTCGATTTTTTCACCCCAAAGGGAGGGAAAAGCTAATTTCGCATACAAGTAGAGTTGGACCCGTCTAAATATTTTGCGAAGAACGGCATCGTTCGAAACTCGTTCTCACCAGTTCCATTTTTCCGTACAACAACGATTTACATCGGCTATGTGGTAATTGCATTAATATATATGCACTAATCGTCAATACAACAATGATAACAATGTAAACGAAACTTAATCTAGGGAATTAAGAACAAAGGAAACAATTGTTGGTAACCCTNATTTTACTCGGCGAGATGTAACCCGTTATCCTGCAGCATGTGCGTGCGCGAAAAGCTCCCTACGTGACGTATGTATATAATATGTATATAACATGACGATCCAATTCCTTTACGATTACATATTATATGTATACCATGTTTTTTTCATTTATTTAGTTTGCTTATGTTTTTTACTATTTTTTCCTTTTTTTGTTTTTTGTTTTTTTTTTTTTATGTTACTTTTGTCATCTTTATTTATTTAATCATATATGTTAATTACTCATTATCCTCTTGAACTCTATGTTTTAGTTATTGTATATTATATGTAGGATTAGCACACTCGGGGTTGAGGGTTACCGTATGGGTCGTGGGGTTCCAGTTGCGTGATGGGTTCATTGGCTGCTGGGGCTGAGCCGCCGACCGACACGCACATAGAGGCACACACACATACAAACAGCTAGACATACCGATCCGATCATTAGGGTATGTTGGCGCAGCGAGCACAGCGAGTCTCCGAGACAGAGAGCGAGTGGTGAGCGAGCAAGCGGCCTGGATCTACGTCGAGCAAAAGCTCTCTCAGGTCGCCTGGGCGCACAGGACGAGTCTTAGGTTTATCCTTACGCTGGTAGTGATGGCAATCGTGGTTATTGTGGTGATGGTGGTGGTGGTGGTGGTTGTTTTTTTGAGCATCCTATTTTTCTGCTGCTGATGATTATTTGCGATCGAGCTTCTACGCGAGCTGGTGCTATCGTCTTCTGAGCTGCTGCAGCTGAGTCGTCAGACAATCATGCGGCACATGCGCAGAACAAACGAGAGGAGCGAAAACCAAGCGCCGCGAGCCCAAGTGCTGTGCGACAAAAGGAGCCGCACCGCGAGTAGCACCGATGCTATCTGCAACGCTTTGTGCAGCCAGTACAATCTGCAATGTGACAAATGAGGCATGAGTTATTACCCATTGGGTTTTTGTAGTGTATACAAGTTGGGTTTAGTTTAGGAGATGGAAAGATACTAGTGTGTCATTCAGTCACTCGTGACATCTACAGGCAGTATATATATCACCGACAATAATTATTATACATTGATAACTTGTGACAATAAGTATACATCATTACAAGGGGCAGCGAAGGTATTCTGGGAAAATTTGTTACGTGCTTACGATTTAGGTTCGTGTAAATTGAGAGATTTTAATTTTAATTTTTAACTTTAGCTCAGAATGGTAGGGTATCATTGTTTTTGTCAGTTTTTATGAATGTTATCGAAAAACTTGCTATTTTTTCTTTGTTTGATTTGAAACAAAAAAACGTTTCTTGGAAATTTTTTGCAAAAACATGTGGTTTTTCAAGGGAACCCCATTTCGACTATTATTCGGTTCAAATGAAACAGAAAGGTCAGCAGAATCCAAATTATACTACAAAATATGTATCAAACCGAATATTGTATGTACAATCTAGTGAGTTTATTCACACATCGATAATTTAATGAACTCGCGCCCCCTGCGCGCTTGGTGCGCCAACCCCCGGAGTTTGATGAAACGTTTTCCTTAACTTTTCAAGTACGATGATTGGTTAAAACGATTGGATTTTTTTCTAACAAAAATTATTTATTTTATTGTACCTTACAATAGATACTATTTTTTTATGACTTCAACTCGTACTCATGAATTTCCCTGCTATTAACAAACTACGTCATCATCCTAGATAAATCAAATCTCAAATAAACAGACTTTATCACGTGATCCATCAATATTTTGAAAAGGAAAAGATGATTATGCGAATTAAGAAAAATTTATCAAGATTATTTCTAAAAAATTTTAAAATAACCAATTATAATGTAGTAAGTTAAAAAACAGCATACTACAACTGGAATCGCTTATTACACTTGATCACAAGAGATTAGTACAAGACGAAAATAATACCTCCATTATAAAAACAAAACAAAAATACATTTAATAGAGTCGAAGTGTTTGAGCTTATATACCCTTTGGCTATACCTTTATACGAAAAAAAATATTTTAAAAGATTAAGATACTCTAAATATACCCAGGGGGGTTACCCAGCGACAACAGATGACCATAATAAGATTAAAAAAACATAAGTCAAGAAAATAAATTACTTAATCAATTATTTTATTTTATTTTTTTTTATTTTCACGCTAATATCCTTACTGTAAATGCATTATTGGCTAAAACGATGCTTTGTAGCAATTAACATTCAGTGTCTTTGGACAATGACACCGTAAAAATATATAAGTACTGAAAAAATGTACACCAGTGCTTCGATACCCTAAGTAGAGTTTATGTAAATACATATTCACGCCATACTATTTTATTAGTAAAGCACAAATCATAATGAAATTTAAGACACAAACTTTGTTAGTGCACGTTTTTTTTCAAGTACAACTAATAACTGATTATAGAAATAGTAGCCATCTATATTTAGCTCGTAGAAAATTTAAATCAGCTTCAGTCATTCAATTTTTTTTTAACTTATAAAACACCATTGTTAAATGAAAACGATAGAACGTTCACCAATTTACTCGAAGAAATTGAAAATTTATACTATGATAAAATTAAGGGTTACTAAAACTCAACCGCGCGTGAGTGAAAAACAGATCTTTGTTCGATCTAAAAAATTATGTGAATCTACTGCCACTACAATAGAAGCCAAAACACATATTTTTGCTCACTTCTAAAACGTTTTTTCTTAAAAACCATATTTTTTAATTTTTTTTAAATTTAGTTATTATTTTTAATTGATAATTTTAAAATAAATCAATAAAGCTGAAAAACTTTACTATCATATACATGTATAATACGCATGAATGTATAATGGATCGTTCTCCACTGGCCCGTGGAGCGTATATATAATACGTTACCGCCCGCGTAGCCTAACTGCTATAGATGTGGTGTAAATTATATTTTTTGCATACCTCCACCGAAACTACGTTTTTTTCCCCTACTTTAAATGAGTAAAGTGCCTCATTCCCTCCCGGGTAAAAAATCTTATTTACTGCTCGTAGGAAAGCATTTTGATATTCTTTACGTGTTGACCACCCCATCTTTGGTTAGGGAGGGAATTTTCATGTAGATAATGCCAAAATATTTTCCCATTAAGCAACGAATGCGATTTTCATCCGAGAAGTTTTGTAATACTCTTATTCTTGAAATCACGGAAAAAAGGCGCATTTTCAGCGAAGGAAGAAAAAAAATCGTAGGGGTAAATTACCCAATTACCGCGCACTGAAATTTTTGACTGAACTAAGTTTCTCATTTCTCAATGTTTTTCGATGTAAATTGAAGCAGTTTTACTTAATCTTTATCTGCAGCATCTTATGCGATTAAAACGACAAACATTTTTCTGTTATGTTACTTATTTTTTATTTCAATAATTGTTTTGGTGCTGATATCACTTGCTGGTATTACTGCGCATGGTTTCAAAATTAGCACCAGTCGCTGCGCCCCCAATTACTGTGCGGGTCTCTCCCATAAGGTTTTCATGCTGAAGCCCTAGACCCAATTGCTGCGCACCAATCACTACGCACAACTACAAAGTTTTGTAGGTTAGATTCGTTTAGAGTCACTCAGTTAAACAATTATAAATGCCATGATGTAAATTATGATTCTGGATTGAACGTTATTAATGTCCGTACGTGTTACAATATCCAAGCACCCAAATTTTTCAGTCTGTTTTTCTTATTTTCAGTTACCGTCGAGTGCACAGTAATTGGTGCCTGCGCAGTAATTGGGCCATTTACCCCTATACATACCTCGGGAAGAAAGTACTGCATCATCTTCACACCCGGAAGGGAATGCCGTATACTTTCTATCCCTTGGTGCGTAGTATACTGTTAAATTACCTCGTTATGTGTGAACGAGCAGCGGGCAAAGACTCTGGGCTCTCCTTGAGTATAAAGTGCCTGATGCCAAGGATGTAGTTCTCAAGGTAGGACGGCCAATCGATCTGCTTGACATCGAAGAGAAAGGTCTGCCTGTCTTCGGGACTGAGCTGCTGGCTGAGCTGCTTGACGTTCTCGTCCTTGAAGTTCCACTGCTGTGTACTGAAGTACTCGAGGCACTTGGCAGCCTTGTCGAGCTTCGCCTGGACGCGGACCATCATGGGCTTGCCGCCACGCAAGTTCGACAGTAGATCGAGCGCATAGGCCGGCACGAGGTGCTGGATGGCCACGCAGATCCGGTTCATGTGGCGCGAGTTGCGGCACCTGCCACCAGGGTACCACACCGCTCCACTCGTCGGGTGCAAGCGGCTGTACTTGAAGGCAAGCTCGACAAAGTGCTTCCAGGTTATGGGATTTTGTTGGCCCGTGCTGCAATTGTACACGACTATCGAGTCCGTGCGGTGTATCGCTGTTCGCCACGCTGCGGCGATCATCAGGTTGATCACTATGTCGACCGGCACCAGATCGGCAACCTTGTCCTCGTGGCACAGCATCGTCCTTTTTAGAAATTTATTGAAGTTAAATTTATTTCTTTTTTTCGTTGTTTTTGGTGATTGGGTGGTGGAAGTGGAACCAAATTCCAAAGTCTATTAATAAAATGGTAAAGTGGAATTCAATTATTGATGTTTATTACGTCTGACTCGTGAACATAGTGGCAATATTTAGAACTAGAATCAATAAACGATAACTCATCATGGTTTTACTCGTGGCAATTGTATTCGCCTCGCAAAAATGAACCGTGAATAACCACAACGACTATTTCTTCCGAAGATGGCCATTTATGAATAAAAGTTATAATCACGGTAAACTTCTAGTATCGACGTCATTGAAACAAGTTATAGTCATCCATTGTGAGTTATCGATAATAATGCACTGATTTTTTAAAAGTGATATTTAATATAATTTACATTGGTTAAAATGTAGACGAAATGAAATTTAGTATGTTGACGAATATTCTAGTGCGGCAATAAACTAGGTTCTAGTATTGACAGTATTTTATTCCAGTACACCTCGTCTCCAAAGTCCAGGTGGAATGATCCACATGGAAATTTGAGACGAAACAAATTTTCACATAGACATATCTGCGTGGAATTGGTTGCCCATAACTAATTCCACGTGGACTTTGAAAACGAGTCAAATAAGTACATAATGTTCTAAAAGTAATATCGAGTATCTTTAGTATTGATAAAGGAGCAAAAACAATTAGTCATGGCAGAATATGAGATAAAACATCACAAATAAATAAAGATCAAGGTTGAACTAACCTGAAAAAGCCCTTGCCGGCGGCAGCTATGATGCCGGTGGGTCCGTTCCAGTTATCAACCCAACCGGCGACGGGTTCCCGGAAGGAGGACAGAACAATGGACGGCCTGACGATGGCAACGGGCAAGCTACCGCTCTCGCGCAGCAACATACTCTCCGCTAGGGCTTTGGTGAAGGTGTAAGTATTGGGCCTACCGGCTATCAGTTTGGGCGTGAGCTCCTCGACCAGCTGGTCGTCCATCCAGTTCGTGCACGAGATTATTTGTTCGGGATCGTGGGGTGCCGGGTAAATCGCCTCCTCGACGTCTTTTCGATCGCAATTGCAGTACGCCGTCGACACGTGTATTAGGGCCTGAAAATGGATAACACTTTGTTTTGTTGCAATATGTAATAAAATATTCAAATTTGTTGAAATATAAAATCCGCCGATTAACTATTTTCGTTGGGAAAAAAATAAATAAATTTTTATCGCCTTGTGACTGATCTGTAGGTAGTAGGCCTTGAAAGCTTCAACTGATGTTTTCACCTCTTTATCATTCGCGTGTAGTGTCTAGCTCATTATTGGCCAAGTACAAGCCTTTAAGCCACAGCTAGATGCGCCCTCTACAGAAGCCGATCGTCGAACTGAGGCCCCCAATTTTTACGCACATTACGAAAAATTTTCGAAAAAACCATAAGTTATAATGGAATAAAAAGACTTTGACTCCAAATTGGTTAGTATGATATCATAAAATTTTATTTAGAATCAATTCAGAAACGAGACGTTAAAGTCCTTACGTTATATCGACAAAGATACCATATCAATTTTTTCTTTATTATTGTACATGTCTATTAGATGGTTCATACGTGAAATGATTAACGTTAAAAATAAATGATACTCTGAGAATGGATGTACTACATTATACTCAACACTTCCTCAAAATTTCATTTTAATAAGCAAGAGACAAAGCTTGTTGTAAATAGTTTCGACATGAATTCTTATGAAGAGCACTATATTTTTCGACAGTTTATACACAAAGTAAAAAAGTTTTAACTATTAAAAATAGACAAAGTGTAAGGCGTATAAAAAAAATCTTATCGCTACATTGGCTATCATTGCTATAGTAATATAACCCTATAGGATTTTCTGACCACGTGGTGGTAGTAAGTAAATCACACTGGCTGGGCAAATGAGACTTAGAGAATTATTTAGCTTCTGTCTTCCTCATTTTCTACATCAATGTTGATAGTTTTGAACTTGATCCACATTGATAACTTTACTGAGTCTCAAATTAAAGTTATTTCAAAAGCTTTTGACTGTTTTTGTGTTGATAAGTACTAGATCTCATTGTGATCTTGGTTAAGTGCAACCAAATGAGTGCAACTATGATTCCCAGCAAGTTTTATTAATTTCCATTACGTTCTGATATTTAGCACATATATGTTTCTTTGCGGGTTTCTGTAATCAATTATCTACGAAGTCAAACATTTACCTCAAGATTGTGCATTCGATGGCAGAGCTGAACAAGGCGCTTCGTGCCAAGCATGTTGATGGTGACGGAGAGCTTGAGTGCCTCGTCAAACTTGACAGTCGCAGCTGAGTGAAAAACCACCGAGACGCAGCGGATCAGCAGTTCCTGATCGGACTCCGAAATACCTAGTTCCGGTTCCGTCACGTCCCCGGCCACTGGCACTATCTTCAGTAGCTCGTGTGGGCAGTCTTGGCGTAGCTTGTCGAACAACTGCAACGATTACATTGTCAATTCGTTCGTTCCGCCATTGACTTTTAGCTTTTTACAAGTAATAAATCAATTTTCTGGCGATGACCAACAATAACTTGTAACTGGTTGAGTGAAGGATAATTTTATGGACAATTTTAACGGTTGTAACAAGTTACCAACGTAAAAAAGAATCATCGTTCGACTCGTTACTAATCACAAAGTGAGCGACAATAATACGCGCTTAAAAACCCAAATCACATTCATGGCATGCAAAAAAAAAAAAAAGAAAAAGAAAAAAACAGTTGGCCGCAATCGGTCTTACCGGAGCATTGAGTAATTCCTGCAGCCTTTTCTGCACATCCTGTCCCCTCTTGGGCCTCATGAGGAGATAGATGTTCTTGATGCCGGGGCAAGACCTGAGCAGCTTCTCGACGAGAACCTTGCCCATGAAGCCGGTGCCACCGGTGATGAAAATCGACCGGTCCCGGTAAAAGTCCTTCACCGACGTGTAGCCGACCTCGGGCATTGTGGCCATTTTTTGGCTCTTTCCCACTCTTGCGTCAACTAATCAACGACACGGTCCAAACTTGGCTGGATTATACTTGAGAGGAAGCTGTACGAGGAAGATCGAGGTTTGCTCCTAGCGCAGGAGAGTGAGTTGCTATCGATGGAAGCTGAGGAAGAAGAGGGTGTTGGGGAGACGAGGGAGTAGTTGGAAGAAAGATATAGGGGTCCCCTGCTCTTTCAAATAAGCGTGTTTGATTTGTCGTTGACTTTCTTCTCAAAACAGAGTACGAGTGAAAAATAAGCTCGCCGCCAACTTTGAGATACTTTTTTGGGGACGGTTGTCGCGATAGCTGCCAAAACTACGCGGTTGTCGCTGGTGGTGCTGCTGCTTCTGTGCTCGGTCCACCCGCAAACTCATCTCGCGTTGTTGTGACGATTCCGTGCCTGCAAAAAAACGAACAGACGAGATAACATTACATCCTTGTTGGTGGATTTTAGCTTTTTATGTTGAAAAGTATTTTACTGCTTATAAATATGCTGTACGGTACTAGTGATTATTTTTTTCTATTTCGAGCGTGTCATTCGAATTCATTAGACGCTTTTAGATAACTTCGGCTTCATAATCAAAAAATAATTTCGATATTGCCCCATTAAAAATCTATTAACAGAGTTAGAAATGCTTTTAATTGGTTTCTAATGGGTTTTCTAGATAGTGGTCATGAATCATCCCTGAACTTTTTCTAGTAAAGATGGCGATTATCGTAATCTATTAATTGTGTTAAACTTTCAGCTATACATTGGTCTTGAATGAAAAAAAAATCTTATTACAGTTACAAAAAAATAGTTTATAACCCAACGTTACTCAACTCAGACGGCACGGATAGTCCAAAAGAGTTAACATCGAATACTTGAAAGTATTCGTTTAGATGTTCGAAAACTGTCCCCAAAGTATACTTAAATCATCCTTTACGAATGAGGGCTATATATATCACCTTTTTCAAGCTCCGAATAGTTCGTTAAGAGTACATTGTTCAGATTGTAACTTCAAAAGTATTCTCAAAGTATTATTTACGAATACAAATTATAGACATAATTGAAAAAAAAAAAATATAAGTAACCTCAATTTTTTTCGAAAAAATTGAGTAAGTTGGTCTCGAACCCCCGGCAGCCAAACGTTTACGTGTGCCACAAACACGCTAATCTACTCGGCTACAATTTTTTTTTTTTTTTTTTTTTTTTTTTTAAAAAACGTTTTTTTCAAAACAGGTACAATGTTGAGTAATACAAGCGTGGAATATGACGTACAAAAAAACGCTTTACAATGTTGGTTCTTATATACTAATTGGCATAAGTTTATGCTCTACAAGTATTTCTTGGGATGTTATTAGCTTAATCCTTAAACTATTACATAGTATGGGTTTCTTTATTACATTTAACAGATTTTTTTAAGGTCAAAAAAATTCCAGTTATACAAGAAAAAATACCTTAACGTTAACTTGCCCGTGGCAGCCTTTTTGGTTTGTGTGGGATAGGGTAAATGAGAATTTTTTTTTTTTTAATTATGTACATATATATTTACAAAGTTCTTCCCAGTCAAGTAAGCACCACTCTATGTGAGCTCTAATTGTGTAGCCACCAGTAGGCTTTGTTTTTGAATGTCTTTTCCTTACTATCTGCATCAGATAGAGCGGTGCTGTACTTGATGGGGGGAGTGTGTCCAAGATCCCTTGGGATCTTTTTGTTTCTTTGGTGTCCAGACCAATGGTATATTATCGGAATATTGCTGTTCTTTTGTATCAGTCTTTGCTTATCTAATAATAAGAACGTTTCTGGCGAAACTATTCCATTAACTTTGCCTTTTTCTAATAATTCTATGTCTAAGTTAACTAGTGATTCCGAAATTATAATATTATTTACAACTTTTTTAGCGTTAACGTAGTAGTTTCTACATAACTTCAACATATGTATGTCTATCCGAGGTATCCCGGCCATGTTGTAGATGTTTTTATTACTAACATATTTTTGGTAATTATGTACTGGATTCCTGTATGTGTTTAGACAGGCTCTCAAACATTTTCTTTCGAATGTCCTAATTCTTTCCATTGTGGAGGCACTTTGATTAAACCATACTGGTACTGCATATGTGATTATTGGTCTGATTAATAGACAATAACATGTGACCTTGGCTCTTTTGTTTAAATGTTTATTGTAAAATAAGTTTCCTAAGGATTGAAATGCTAGGTTAGCTTTGTATAATTGTGTGATTGGGTGTTCATGTAACTTTAACAGGTAATCAATTTGAACCCCCAGGTATTTTACTGATTTATTGTGAGGTATATCTATTTTTTGTCCGTTATCCCCTCTTATTTGAATCTTAAAATCTTTCCAATCCCGTCTTTCGGATCTACTAAGTCTGCTGTGATCGAGCCTGATTAGGATCGATTCGCACTTAGGTGCGCTTATTTTTAAGAACCATTTTATGTAGTAAAAATTTACGTTATTAACTAGGTTTTCTAGTTTGCTTTTTGCATCGGATGGCTTTTTTGCGCTTGTATATAAAATAAGGTAGTCAGCAAAAAAGATTGCATGTTTGCCCAGGTTTTGATTTAATTCAAATAGGTTAGCTAAGCCACTAATGTATATGTTAAATAATATCGGGGCGTTGACCGTGCCCTGCTGGAGGCCCTCAAATAATTCTAATACTTGTGATTTTTTAACTTATAGTAGTAAGTATACTTTGGGGACAGTTTTCGAACATCTAAACGAATACTTTCAAGTATTCGATGTTAACTCTTTTGGACTATCCGTGCTGTCTGGCCAATATTACGCAGTAATACACATTTCTATAATCACTATTAATACATAATTGAAAGCCTAGTATTCAAGTAGAAAAATCATATTTATAATACTAGATGATGTAAAATGTAGTTTAATGGTATAATAAAAGATAACAACAGTAATAATTAATTATTGTAGTAATAACGATTACCGATTGATGATTAAACAAATTTTAGTGAAGTTCAATCATGATAACACGAACGATTTATATGATAGTTTTAATAATTGATTTCTTATGCGTATAAAATAAAAATGAATCATCGAGACAGATATGGCAACTAAAGATGACATAAAAAACAGTTAAATTATAAATCATTATCTACATATGAAAGTCTGCAATGGCAAATGCACACATTGCACCCCCCCCCCCTGCCATCAGTACGACTTCTGTACGCACTAATATAAATAATATAACATAATAATGCTGAAATTAATATAATTAATACAGACACGCACGTATTCACACCACGCCAAGTTATGTTTTTCGAATAGATCGATCACTCAATTAAACGTACCCTATATAGCCAAAAACCGCAAACTTTAACCGCGCAACCGCACCAACTAATTACACTGCTTACATAACCATAACGTGTAAATTGGTATGTATGGTACGCAAAACAAGTGCACCACCTGTATGTATTATGTACTCTAGAAGGTATATATATGTATGTACATGCAACGTGTACACTATCAAAAGTATATCGGGAATCGGGACCAACAGTAAACTCTTACGTCTACACGAGAAAGAAAAAGAAGGTGATAATACTACACATACTGGAATAAAAGTCAAGTGATTTTTCGAGCATACTTTTGTAGTTTCCTTTTTGTTTTACTTAAAAAAAAAAAAAAAAAAAAAAAAAAAAATATAAAACTCGTAAGCTAGTAAATGTATGCAATAGAAATCGTACAACACAAGGAAAAAAAATCGTTATGTACGCGATGTTACAACTAATATTGATTTATTTTGAATTTTATCAATTTATACCACATTTTCATGAAACTTGAGAAATAAAATTACAACCGAAAGAAAAACAAATATTCATGAACACCAAATAAACTCGTTTCCAGCAATCTGAAGTCTGTACATTACACGTTTATGCATATTCATAAACGCAAAACGATTATTACATTCCACGCCCCTAGCCGAGTTCTGGTTTCTCATGCTTTTACACAAGTCCTTAATTTTTTTTCTACAATTCCAGAATAATGTAACTGTAAGTATGTTCAAAGCAAAATCACCAGTAAAATAATACAGCTGTACGAATTTTTTCAGTATAGACCTCCATTGTCTAATTGTTGCGCTTACCGATCTCCATAAATCAAAAGCTCGCTTTTGTATGCGATATCTGTCGCTGAGCCTGTTCACTTTTGCAAAAAGCTAACTTCAAAATTAGGCCAAATGTAGCAAAAGATGTAAGAGCTTACATCACGATTGTGCCATTGCGAGGCGACTTTGCAAATTTTTTTTCTTGTATCATAACATACTCTCTACTTTAGCCGAGACACCGATCATTGTGGAGCTACTTTTGCATAATAACGCCTGCAGGCCCGCTTTCTCATTCTGGCCAGTTGCCCGATCATTTTGTATGTATCCGATCTTTTGTGTCTCGTAACCCGTCTCTCCCCTGCGCCTGTGATCCAGGGACTGAGAAGGATTGCGCAATTTCACCATAATCGTCTAGAGATGACCTAGATGCTGGCACAGGTGAGTTAGTATATATGTAAAACTGATTTTAGTCGCTCACCGTGAAATATCGAGACGACGACAATTCAAGAAGAGCCTGTATAGTAAATTATCTCAATCCGGAGTAATGCCTACGGTTGTTCCTCCATATGTGCAACTATAAAAATCAATTCTTGGTTTTTCTAATGATCATCGTTTGTTATAATTACGTACGACCGATTTTTCAAATAGCTTTTTGTATCGTATAACTAATAAAAATACTATGGAATTTGAACAATGTACAGGAAATTGATAACAAAAATTCACCACTATGTACAAAGATACACTAAAAGCATTAGAATATTTGGATCTTGTAATGTTTGAAACATCCATTTCTCGTTTTGTAATTGGTATTTGAATCACAAGTAAAAAAAAATTTTTTGCTGTTGGTTATTATAATGGATTTTTTTGTATTTTTGTTTTAACTTGTAACAATGTAAATACATACTCGTACGTGCCACGCAAGATAGTTATATATTTTTTTGAAACGTATAATCATAATATTAAACACCGTATAGTATAATCAGTCAGTTTCTTCCTGTAGTGAGCAAACAATTTGATATTTTGTTTTTTGCATTACCGAATACTTATTTACGTCACATCCCAGAGTGAGAAACGTCACATCAGAAAGTCGACGTTCATCAAGATTCAAGGCTTTGTGGAGTTAAGTATACATAAAAAAAAGGTACGCATGTCCTAAAAGATACATTTATAAAATTACTTTTTTCATACATCGATCATTGTGATATAAATAGAGATATTTTCCCTTTGGTAAAACCTGACCGAGTGTCAACCACCAACTTTTATCGTGAGCTTAGACCTACAAAAAACTCAAGGTTCATCAAGCGAGAATTGCTAGACTGAATTATTTCAAAAAATTGAT